TCAGTCAGTCAGTCAGTCAGTCAGACAGTCAGTCATAGTGTAAACTTTACGGGGGGTAGGTTGATTTATGCGTGTAGTAACTTTTTGTATATGATCAGTAATTTAAGGTTTTTAAATCAGTTTGACTTGCTTTATTTATTAATGCACTATGTCCCTTTTGCAAAGTTCACCAAAATATTGAGGAATTTTGGCGGTTACTGTCAATTTTGAAGCATTGCTTTTCCGCGGTTTGTGTTTTGTTTTAAAGGGATTTGCGCAGTATTACCCCCCGGAACACCCGATTCTTCCTCACACCTCGCAACTGCGCATGTGCCGTCGAGACTTGAACATTATTCAGGATGTAAAGAAACGAGGAGCGACGAGCATTGCTTCGAAACATTCCGGGCGTAAAAATCGAGCAATTCTTTGAGAATCTACGCAATTTATCAACTTATGTTATGAATTACGAGCATTCAATTCAACACAAATATAATTTAGAAGGTTTATTCCATAAATAGAGCTAAGAGGTTAGGAAGAAACGACGCTGTGTTGTTTATGTATTTATAGACTCCTACACATGTATATTAAATTGTCGATAGCAAGTCGATACCTGGTATTCTGCATACAGTACAAAATGATATTATTCAAAACGGACATTTTGTGCAGTATTCAAACCATTTTGGCGGTATACAGTATTGATATAAGTATATTGTTTTGTATCGATTTATACGCGTCGAAGTATCGACATCATAGACATAATATGCACCGCGGTTTATTTACATTATTTACAACGCAACTATTTTGGCTATTCTCATGAAGTGACGGATAAATTGTAGCCATCATATAAATGTAGTGAATGTAGTCACAGTTGTCTGACGAAGAAAAGAGACTAAAGCGAGAAAATCGCGCCCGGTTAGGCCGGTTTACACGGGCAACTAAAATTATAATTTAATAGCCACAGTATCCGCGGCTAACGTAATTTGAGTACTTTGAGTAATTTCCTTTTGATTAATGTTTAACCTAGTTCATTATATTTTTACTGGCATAAGTCAAAACGTTTATGTTGGGACGAACGTCTGGTTGCTTAGGTAATATAGGGCATGGAAACTTTGCACTATCCTTGGATCCCTAGTTGCATTTCCTGCTCTTGTATGTCCAAGTTCAGAACAATCATAACATGTTCTGACATCATCTGTGTATCAATTACTGAACAGACAATAACTAAATGTAATCTGTTTGTTAAATGATTGAGTCCATTTTATTTGATGTACTGCAGCTGGCCGTACATACCACACAGCCTTGGAATACTACTCAGTCAAGAAAGGAAGGGAATTAAGCTTGAAAGAGGCACTCAAGTTAACAGACTTATCTAATTTAACTAATTTTCAATTGTTTGCAAGGTAAAGAAGTTATTATTTTTAATAATAATAACTTGCCTTTATAGTAAGCGATCTTCATTAAAAGTAAGGCTGCCTGAGAAACAATTGAAAATTCATTACTTTTCATTATCCCACCTTCAATTGGCCGGGCTCGACCTCTCCTTGACAGATAAAATCATTTAGCATTAGGGCAAGACATAATAAAATACAACAAAGCATACAGCAATCTGTTACAGGATTTAGGTGACATTAGCTTACAAATTTTGACGAAGATTCCTCATCATTTTCTGAATCATCACATATGTCAAATTCTATAATAAACAAATTTACGATGAAACTAAACATGGGTTTACTACCGTACTGTTGTCAAGGTAACCAAGCATGTCCAGTGTGGCTAGTCACCAGGGGCTAACCTGGCCCCTGCCTGGCATGCATAGTATTTAAGTGGGTATAGCCTTCAAGATATAATTATAAAGTTAGGTTGCGGTAATTGCTGTAAATATTTAAATATTTACTAAAGCAGAACGACAGGAATTTTTAAATAAGATAGGTTATAATTCTAAAATAATGACCTCCTTGCCTTCAAAACAACTGGAGCTTCATTATTTTGAAAATACAGTACATTATTTGTAGAAGGCCTTGGAGCTCATGCATTATTGTATAGTAATATTCAGAGATATTCTTTGAGTTTTTTTCTTCAACTATATTACCTTGTTTTCCTGGAATGTTTCTCCGTCAAGCACTCTGCGTATAAACTGAGCATGAATGGCGTAATCTGTGTTACACGCCCTTCTTTTATGTTCCGCATGTCTAACACACATGGCTATTTCCTTCCAATCACAAGCAGAGCATTGTTATGGTAAGTTTTAACTTTGCATATCATTATACGTGTTGTGAATAGTGTACAGTCTTGGATCAAAACAGTGACATCACTTACCACTATTGCTGTCGATTTTCATATTCGCCTTGTAAATACTATATTTTTAAACAAAATCTTAGGTGCTTCTGATAAAAGAAACCAGAGGACTATTGCCGTATTTATATTTGGTAACCTGGCCTCCCTTGAGATAGATTGAGGTCTGAGTTGGACTGACACAGTCATTTTGCGGTTTAGATTATAATTAGCATATACAGTCATTTTCTGGAAGAGAGTGGGTTGCCCATATGCACATCTTTTGGTAGCGACCATTTTGAATATATTTGAATAATATAGAGCTTGTCCGAACTCGTGGCGTTTGTTTACATTTTGAATATATTTGAGTAATATAGAGCTTGTCCGAACTCGTGGCGTTTGTTTACATTTTTGGTCACGTGTTACAACATGTGTTTTTTGAGTCGAAAAGGTGAATTAACTTTTCCATCTTTACTATTTACTGGTTGAAATGCTAACTTTGTAGTCTCACATTTATTAAACGGAAAGTTAAAGCGGCAACTTAACTTGTCCCCATTCTGTTCATGCTAAAGACAATATTTAGTACTGCAATGCGTGTGTCTTTGTACTGTGTTCAGCAAATCAGTATAGTCACTCTCAAACTTATGATCTAGTTTTATATCAGCGTATCTTACCCTGCATGGATGAATACTCTGCTTCGTCCATGGAACAATATCAGGTGGTTGTGGATTAACAGTTGTTAATATCATGTCCACATATTGACAAATCTGTCGACTTGCGGATTCACCTTTCTGAATGGTATCAAATATAGTAAAATCATTAGAAAGTGTAGTTGAAAGATGTTTCTCCGCCAAAAAACCTTTCAATGCAATTTTGGAAAGCATACACAAATCTGGATCATTATAAAGTTTTGCTGCACCATGACAATAAATACTTCCTCTACCTCTAGCTGGAAATTCGCATCTATACCAGTGCCATTTGGCATTAAGAGTACCGTAAAGCCAATGCTTTAAAAAACTTTCTAAACGCTTTGTGAAAAACCAGTCTTCAACTTGAGCTCTCCTGACAGTTAATCCCTTAGAATTCCTCCTTT